AGATTGATTTAAATATATTGTTTTCATGAAGGAAAAAAATTTTTTTCATTAATACAAAATCACTTTCAAACTTTTAGACAGATGTCATTTTATATATAAAAAATAATTCAAAGTTTCGTGTAAAAATCGCTTGACGAAAGGTTATTCCCAATACAAAAAACCTCAACATAAAATACCCTCCCCGATTCAAAAGACCCCGGGGTGGTTTATGTGGTGATTTACTGTGGTTGCAAAAATATTCAATAGGGCGATCACTTCTGAAACAGTTTGAGGATCCCTCCTTAGGTCTAAAAAGAGAGGATGTATTTGTTACGAGTAAATTACGTAAGAGAACTTTAAATCTTTCATTTACAAAGTTTCTTGCTATACTACTATTTAATAATACCCATGTTGGCTTGCCATTTACTGACCATTGAATTTTAGTTGTGGTGGTAGTGGTAGTGGTTGTGTACAATTGTTCGTCATCCACCATCCGATCTTGTGCCTGCCCCATTGTGGTCTCTGTAACAAAGGTGAAACCTAAGAATACTCCAATTTTCATTGAATTATTTTTATTAATAGAAACAGTTACTGTGTTTTCGAATCTGCATTTAAGAGCAGATGAATCTATTTTTTGAGAATTTGACTGTATTAGAAAACAAAAAAAGTGACTTTCTTTTTAAAAAATGCTCATTTTAACTTCGTTTATAAACTTTTGAGTAATTTGCTTTGAAATGTATAATGATTTCAACGCAACCTCATTTCTTCGGTCTGATACGAAATCCGAAGAACATAATCCCGAACGCCCATAAGCTGACGGACGAACGGCATCTAGTGTTAACAATCGACAGTTAATAATTATTTATTTAGTTGAGTTGCCAACTGAACAATTATGACTTTTAATTGATTAGGGGCATACCATTTATTATGTAATTCTTTCAATTAGTAGCCTTATCCACCCATGTATGGTGCGGTTATATATACTGTAACTAATATTAAAAATTCAATTATATAGGACGTGATAATCATCTTACCCATGTTTGCAATTACATGCAATAAGTTTACAAAAGACAATCTTAATTTTATGTTCATTAATTTTTCAATAGTTTAAATATATACATATATAATGATAGATTAAATTTATTCAATTCAATTTTTTTCTAAATGCCCAAATTAAACGATCTTTAAAATGACTGAGTTTTTCGGTTCAAATAATGAAACCTAATATTGAATGAATTCGAGTTTCCAATTCAAATAATGAATCTAATATTGAATTCCAACAAATATCAAACCCTAATATTGAATTTAGAACAAAACAAACTAGTTTCATCTGGGAATTTTTTAATTTCAGAAAATGATTGTGAATCTTTTATTAACACATAAAATATCAATTTATTTAACTCAATAGATATTAGAATTACTTCTTTCTAAACAAAATTAGCTGGATCCAGATATAATTAATTATCAAAGCATAACATGTCTTGATTCAATATTTTTTCTTCTTTTAATGGATAATATAGAAATGAAATGAATGATATAGAATAATAAGATAAATAAATACATGTTGTTATCCAATGGGAAGTCTGTCAAGCAAACTGTGAGACTATATAATTATAAGATTGTCTTGAATGAATTTTCTGTATTTTCATTAATTTATTTGTTATTATATTAATTATTACTTTGAACTTTTGTCAAGATGTTCAATTAATTTCTTTTTAATAATATCACTAATTTTTATCTAAGGAGTTACAATATGATCTGGTACAAAAATATTGATATATTACATTTAAAATTTTAACAATTTATTTTATTTTTTTAGTTTCTGGAATTTATTTTGATATAATTTTTATTAGCTTTTATATATCAATTTCTTTATCTTCACAATAGGCCAAATCTTTATTATTATCAATCAATAATATATTATCAATTATAGTATTATATTCTTTCATTCTGTCTAATAATTATTTTCATAGATCAATAATAGTTTTAGATGCAATTTTTCTTTAAAAGTATCTAATAATTTATTTCTAATAAAAAAAATCAGAATATTTATAGTAGTAATTATATTATATAGAACTTTAATAGCTTTAAGCTTAGATTTATTTTGTAATTTGCTAATTATTATTTTATGTATTATAAAATTATCATTATTTTTCTGATGTCAGTTAGCAACTACTCTTGTAATTATTTTTTTTCAATATCAAAAGCCATTATAATATACTTATATAGTAATATAGCTTAATATTACTTTTTTTATTATAAGAATCTGAAAAATACTGATGAATACTAATAATCATTCATCATTTTAAACAGATTTTCTTTTTATTTCAGTTCAGGTATACAAAAGAAAAACTATTAAATTAACTAAAAATAAAAAGATATATCTCTTATAATTTGTTTTATATAAGTAAATTATTAATTTAAATATTTAATTATTACTTAAATATGAAAAATTTTCAGAAATAATACTAATATACAAATACTTTATATTAAATCAAATTATAATATTATTATTTTTATATATTATAAAAAATAATTCAAGTTATCAAAGAAATTGAATCAAATTAATAAGTATTTTATTATAAAAAAATATATATTTATTTTAGAATAATAAACTTTATTTTATTTAGTTAATAAATAATTATAAATATTAATTAATACTTATTTTATTTTATAAATTTTTTTATTTATAATTTAATTTTTTTTATTATAATTCTAAATTTACTATATTATTTAAATTAATAAATTATTTTCATTTTGATTTATTAATTAGTATCTTATTAATATATTTTAATAATATTATTATCATAATAACATAAATTTCTTTAATTTTATAATTTTTTAAATTTCAGATTTTTAAATAATTAATTAATCTTTAAAAAATATATTATTTCAAATGATTTAATTAATTATAGATTTAGTTATAGTTTAATAATAATTTTATAATACTTTAGTAATACTTTAGAATTATAAATATCTAATTAGTTCAAAAATTAATAACAATTTATAAATAATTTATTAATAGTTTATTTATAATAATTTTGATTAGATTATCTTTCTTTAACTTAGATTTTTATTTTATATTATTTGTATAATAGATTAACTTTTATATTATTTTTTATAAAGATTAATTTCATTCTGAATATATAAATAATTATCCATATATTTAATATATTAAATTTAATATATTATTATAATTAATTAATATTTTTAATTATATTTCTTTTCAATTTTCATAATTTTACTCATTCTTATTTATTATTATTTATATTATTATTTATTATATTTATAATTATTGAATTCTAATTAGTTAATTTCTAAAAATATGAATTAAATTAATTAATTTTATTTAGTTATATATATTTTAATTATAAAAATATTATTAATTTATTTGCATTTATATTTATTTTTTTTGTTATAAATAAGATCTTTCTATTATATAAATTATTTTTCAAATCTAAATATTATTCAAATAATAAATTATAAATTAAAACTATTCATATGTAATCTTCTTGTTATGTAGTATAATATATTTGAATAATTCACATAGAAAAGTCAGGATATAATATTATATCAGGAAAATTCATACAGAAGATTCAAGATATATAGTGATATTATTAAGATAAAATTTACATAGAAAACTAAATCAAAAGTAAACAAGAGATTATACTTAAACTTATATTTTTATTAATAATATTTGATACTTAAAATTACAGAACAGATACAGTATCTTTAAATAATAAATTAATATTATATAAAATTAATAATAAAATAAATAAATAAATAATAGATATTACTTATATGATAGTACCTTTGAAAGATGCTTATTAATGAATAAATAAAGAAATAAATAATTATAAATGAAATATATAAAATAAGTAACTTACTAGTTATATTAGTAAAACAAGAAAAAAAAGAAATTTTATTAAGAAAACTATCTATAGCTAAAATAACTCAAATATATCATGTAACTTTTCTTGGCATGATCAGGTGATTATGACACAATAAGTCATGTATGATATAGTATATGATATAATAATAATCTGCAAAATAAAAAATAAATATAATATAATTATTATTAACTAATCTAATTTTATTATAATATCTCCTCTCTTAAAAATTAATATTCTTATTAACATTTTGATTCAAAAGATTTCACAAGTTCTATAATATTATGAAGATTTTTCAAGAGTTTTTAAATAAAGTCATAAAGAAAGTAATCTAGCTATTTAATTAAGTATTGAGATTTATTTCAAATAATTTTTTTATTCAGAATTACTTTTATTTCATATTCTTCTTCATTAATTTTAGGTATAATAATTGATTATAATGGTATTAGATAAATAAAATCTTTATTATCATTAGGATTATAAGACTTTAGTAATGAAATATAAAAAACAGAATAAATTCTTATATGTAAAGATAAATTTAGTTTATATATAACAGGTAAAATAACTTTAAGAATAGAGAAAGAGTCAATATATTTAGATATAAGCTTTTTAATAGGGTATTATTTATTCATGAGATCAATAATATTACAAGTTGAAAATAAAACTTGATTTCTAATTTTAAATTCTTGAAAATAATAATATTGATTAGTATATTTAGTTTGATAATCCTGTATTTCTATTAGTAAGTCTTTTACATCTTTAATTATATTATTCTAATATTGAATGAATTTATTAGCAGTGATGATTTTATTATCTGTGATAAGTATTATAGATATAATTAGATATTGACCACAATCTAACTTGAAGAGTATATGTCTAAATAAAGCTTGAATTAAATTATTACAGTCAAATCTCATTATACCAATACTTTCATTCCATCCAAAATTTATTAGTGAAGTGAGATATCGGTAGATTAGGGATTTTTCTTTTCTACTAATAATATACAAAATATTAATTATCAGAAGTGTTAACAAGCTTTATTATTTATTTGCATAGATTAATAGTTGCAAATAAAATTATCAATAGATATTTGCTTTTTCTTTGAAATAGAGTGAGCTAACAAATCACTTCTTAAGCTCCGAATTTTAAAAGTATGCTTCTATCATAAGCAAACTCAGCGAGTGGGTTAGAAAGAAAGTCAGACAATACATGTAAGCTTTCTAAAACAAACTTAACACTTATGGTAGAATGAATGATTAGTTCTTCAATTTCATCTTCCTCTTCTAAGGAAGAATGATTTACTATAGATACTATCTCATCATTATTTATATTTTTCTCTTCTATTTCTTCATCAACATTCATATATTGCTCTACTGATATCGAGTTTTTCCAGTCTAGATGATTAATAGAAGATTGTAAATTATTTATTTTTAACTCTATAATATCATCAATATTCAATTCATCAACAGTTGACATCTCATTATCAGATGGTAAAATGCCAGTTTTCCTCTAATAATTCTTAATGGTAGTTTTCATAACAGCACTCCACACCTCAGCATAATAAGTTATAGCATCAAGAATATTAATAGGAATAATATTTGAGTTGAGTTCACGAGAAAGATCATATGAATTAGCAATATATTATACAAGTAATCAATGATAGTGTGCCTACATAAGATAAAAGTTTTAGCTTAATTCAAGTGACAAATCAATAGCTTTCATACTTGTCTTAAAGGATTTAATGATGTCAGCATTGTATGGTTGTAAATGAGATATAGTATTAGGGAGAAGAGAGTGAATAATAATATTAGTCAATTGACTAGATTCCAGAATTATATATGTCAGTACATTATCTATGAGTAAAAGAATATGATATTGTTGATGCTAAATTTGAAGATTTAGTTTTCTAAGATAGTCTTTTCATATAGAGACTTGCATCCATGCTATCTTGTTCTAATAATATTTAACAGATAACTTGTTCTTATCAATTTTCTTAAGGGATCGCAAAGTCTGATAATGATGTATGAGTAAAGATTTAAGTTTCTCAATACCTAATACATTGCAATAAAGAAGAATAGTTATATGATTTTTCAATTTCTTGATATTAATAATAGGGTTTAATGCCAATGTCCTTGATAGTTCTAACTGCTAGTATAACGCTATAATATATATAATAAACATGTCAGATGAAGAAATAAAAAATATGGAAATATGAAAACTCAGATATAAACCAGTTTCATTGTAATTAAAAATATCATGCTTATCATATAAGTGAAGTGCTTCACAGAGCTTAATACACTCTTGGTCTATTGTCTCCAATAGAGTACTATTCCTTTCCTCTGATTTTACGTAAGATTAAATATAGCATCTAGACTTATAATGATCAAATCATCTATTAGAAGTACCAAATTTCTCAACTCCTAAAAGACTAGCAAAGTGTGTTATCTTTTGCTTAAGAAGATCTATAGTAATAGTGATATTATCATGAACAGCACATGTAAATCATATTGTCAATATCTTTTTAATCTCAGGATATAACAGTCTGCATTCTTTTTTTCTTTTTAATGAAATTTCATCATCATTAATAGCTAACCATTTGTCTCATTTATTTCAAATATCTGAAACAGTATTTTGTCTAATCCCATATTGATTTATAACATCAGTTTGATTTGAAGCAGGCTTTTGAGACAGTAAAGTACATATTTCTTTCTTTTGTGCATGGGTTAATATAACTTGTTATCTTTTCACTAAAGATTTACTATTTTTTTTCACATTAAGCTGAGACATTTTGCAGAAAGAACTATTTAACGTTAAGGATTGATGAAATATAGAAAATTAACCAATCAGAATGCTTGACATCATTTCTAATTTAGTAAATATTACATGATTATTGGTAGAGTGGAGTGAGATCTAATAGTAAATGGCATTAATGTATTAGTATAAAGGTTATAGCAGGATTTATTATGATTTATCAGTATAATGGAGAAATTTTTTTATGTAAATTTTGAGAGCAGTATTTTCCATCATTATATGAAGATTATCAGTTTAATGGGTATCAGTATAATAAGGTTTGACTGTATATATGAATTTAGCAGTTGCAAGATATTTATCTTAGTGATCTTGATTATAAATAAATAGATTTGTAATATTTCTTCTAAAGTATAATTTATTCTTTTAATTTATCTATCAGTTTGTAAGTGAAATACAGTTGATATAACTAACTTAATATTGAGTTATTCAAAGAGAGATTTTCAGAAGAGACTAGTAAATTTAATTTCACAATCTGAAATTATAACATGAGATAGTCTATATAATTTGAATATGTTATTAAAGAATAATTTAATAACTTTAGATATAGTAACAGTAGTATGAGTAAGAATAAAATATGTATATTTAGTAAGATGATTAATAATAATCAAAATAATATTATGATCTTGTTGAGTGATTAGTAGTTATATAATGAAATTCATGATAATTTATTCCTAGCATTATTTAGATATTTTTAAGGGTTATAAAAGACCTGAGGGTGATTGATTATTAGATTTATTTCTTTGATATTCTTCACAACTAAAAATATATTTATAAATATTCTTGAATATTTTTAACTAATAGTATGATCTTTGTAAGTGCTTATAAGTTTTATTGATTTTTAAATGATTAGAGATAAGAATATCATGATGTTCTTCTAAAATATGAGTTCTTAGAGTTTTATTCTTTGAAATAGATAGCTGATTGATATTCTTCAAATAAATTTTATTATCTCTCAGTTTAAAGTAATGTATTCTTGCTTATTATTTTAATGTAAATGCTTCAAAATTATATAAAATTATTCAGATTTCTTTGAAATGATTGTCAAACTCATATTCTTATTATAACTTTTTATTATTATTAAGTTAAGTAGAGATTGTAGTAATATTATTCACTTATAGTGATTAAGACAAAGTATCAGCTACTATATTTTCCTTTCCCAGTTTATATTTAATAATAAAATTATTAGCTTATAAGATTTTCAGCTAGCGAGCTTAATATTTAGAAAGATTATATTATATCTTAATATACTTAAGCAATATATAATCAGTAATAATGGTGAAATGTTATTCTTTTAAGTATAGTTTTTAAAGACAAATAACATGTATAATAGTAAGAAGTTTCTTTTCATATATTGAATAGTTTTACTCAGCTACAGATAATTTATATGATTTATAAATAACAGATTGATCTCCTTTTCTATAATTTTTAATTAAGAATAGCTCCTATAGCAAATTCAAATGTATCAATTATAATTGTGAAGAGTAATTTAGAATCTGATAGAATTAAGATAGGTATAGTGATTAAATACTGTTTTAAATCATCAAATATATTCTTGATCTTTATGAAGTAAGGTTATAAGTAATAAAGTGATTACAGAAAATCCTTTTACAAATTTCTAATAATAACTAGCAAGTCCTAAGAATAACTGAAGCTTAGAGATATTAGTTAACTTGAACTAGTCATGAATAATAGCAATTTTGTATTAATCAACTGAAATTTCTTGATCTAAAATAAAATAATCTAAGTATTTAACATATTACTTGATAAGTTCACATTTCTTTAATTTGAAATAGAGTTTATATTCATGAAGTTTAGAAAGAATAATACAAAGATGTTAGAGATGTTCTTTCTTAGTATTACTAAATATGAGAATGTTATCAAGATAGATAATAACAAATTTATCCAAATAGTTATGAAAGATATTATTTATAAGAATCATGAAAGTTGCAAACATATTGATGAGATCAAAGAGAAGTATAAGAAATTCATAATAACTATATCTTATTCTGAATGCTGTTTTATAAATATCTTCTTTCTTAATTCTGATTTAATAATATTCAGAATAGAGATTTAATTTAGAAAAATATTATGCTCTAGCAAGATGATTTATTAATTCATTAATATGAGATAAAGGATATTGATTTTTAATTATAATTTTGTTCAAGATATGATAATCTACAAAAAGATAAAGAGTTTTTTCTTTCTTATATACAAATAAGATGGATACTCCAAATGACAAAAAACTAAAATAAATAAAATCTTTACTAAGTAAATCAGATAATTATTTCTTCAATTCATCCATTTCAATATAAGACAAGTGGTAGATAGAATAAGAAGATAATTCAGATACAGATATCAAATTAATAGTATAATTGATAGCTCATTTTGATGGTAGTTCATTAGGTAAGAAGTTAGAAAAGATATCAGCAAATTCTTTAACTAATTAAGTAACTTTATAAGAAGTTAATACTTTTTGATATGCTTCTTTTATAGTAACACAAATTGCAAATAACTTAGCATTAGATAAAAGTTTAGTAAATTATTATTGAGATATATAAAGTAAATTGTAACTGGATACAAGTTTATCTTTGCTAATATTGATCTTGATTATCTTGTTGTTATAGTGAAATATTATGGAATTATTATGTCAGTTAATAGTGAGATTAGTATGATAATGTCATAATTTATCAAGTATAAGATCATAATGTTAAATATTAAGAACTTAAGCATTGATATTAATGGTATGATATATATTCAGTTTTAGTTTCTTGATTATTATAGATGAATTAACTTTCTTTTTATAACTATTTGTAAGTTTTATTGTAATAGAATTTATGATATAAGTTTACAAGCAATTATTCTTAACATATGTTTCATTAATAAAATTTCATGATACTCTACTGTCAAGCAAAATCTAGGCAAATTTTCCATTAACATAACTATTAAATTTCAAAAGTTTCTCATAATTATCCTCAAGATAAGTGAATTCAATATTATTATTTAGTATAATATTTGTAGTATTATTATTATTATTCTTGATATTATTAACTTTAGCTTTTTCTTTAGAATGATAATCTTTGACAAAATAATCTGATTTATTACAGTTATAACAATTATAATTATTACTATTTTTGCTATGAGTATTACTATTATTATTACTATTATTATTATAATTTGGTTAATAAGAGTTCTTAGCATGATTTAGCTTTATGAGTATAGAATCAGTATTATTATGAGTATTATTAGAAGAGAAGTTCTGATTTCTCTTATATTTCTGATTACAATTACTAGTATCACTTTTCAAAGAATGACTAATATCAAATATAGTGATATTATAATAAATTATAAGTTTCCAGACTATATTAAAAGTTTCAGATGCTTGATATACTACTTTTATCTTTGTTATAGATTTGAGATTATTAATAAAGTATGTAACTTGATCTAGTTTTTCTATATCTTCAATTTATCCTATAATATTTCTAAATTTAGTATCATATTCTTGAATAGTACCAGTTTGATGAAGTTAGTACAGTTAATAATAAAGATATTGTTAATAGTTAAGTAGTTAAAATACATTATAGATCTTAGTGATAAAGTTATTCTAATTAGTAAAGATATTTTATTCTCTAATGGTATATATTTTATTCAAATATCAGTGTAAGATA